AGTTAACGACTAGAAAAGCATGTAAGCATAGATTCTAGAGGTAAGAGCATAGATTCTAGATCTAGAGTGCCTAGGTTATTGGTGAAACCTGGCTCCACTACCTATAAGCTGTTAAGGAAAGAGGTTAGTATTTCTATTTCAATTTCCTTACATTAAAATGGGAATAATAATGTTACCTATGTTGTATGCAGCTATTATAAAGATTAGAAAAGTCAATATTTGCAAAGTATTAAGCATGTATATGTGAACTGCACATATATATTTATTAAATTGATAAGGTAAAGATTCAAGTATTACAGAATGTTTAATCGTTCAATACATAAGATAGATTTTACTATTAATTTTATAACACTAGCCTGTTACGGCACAAAGTACTGTCACACATAAACCAAAATACCGTTATGACAGATCTCATCAAATTTTTATTTTAGTATCTAGAAAAAAATTTCAGATGGACTGAATGAATATAAATGGATCTTTATTTTTACTACTTTAAGTGTCTGCCTGTTATCATACAAACAAATAAATTTTTAAAAAACTAAAAGAGAAAAAATGGTAAATATTTATTTTGTTACCAGTTTCCCAAAGAAGGATTTTTTTAAGAAAAAAAATTTCTTTTTTAAAAAATTACCTTTTTCTCCTCTTCTCATAGAATGTTTTTATTGAGTCAGTTTATTTCAGTATTTTCAAGACTTTCACAATTACTGTTATACCTTTTCATAGCATAGTTCCGAAGTTTATTTTTATTGAATGGTATAACCAAGCTTATTCCTGTGCACTTACCCTCTATATAGAAATAAGGATTCAAGTCGAGATTTTAATTTTCATGCAGAATAATTGAGAGCAGTAACAACAGCTAACATTCTATACAGACAGAACACCATAAGCAAACTAGAGTATTTACAAAACCTTAGCCCTATAAGAAACTTTGTTATTGTTGTTGTTATGTGCCATCGAGTCAGACCCAACTCATAGCGACCCCTCCTTGAGTTTCCGAGGCAGTATCACTACAGAAGTAGACTGCCCAACCTTCCTTCCGAGGAGTGGCTGGTGGGTTTGAAATTGCCAGCCTTCTGGTTAGCCATCAAGTGCCTTAGGCACTACACTACCAGAGCTCCTTAGAGATAAAAATTCTCTATTTCAAGAATCCAAGCTAGTGACTTTCTGGACACAGCCAATGCCCCAAAGTATTTTCTTTAGTCTACCCAGTGTTATGACAAAGCAGGAATTTTTTAAGGACTAACTAAGCAATTATGATAAACTCCATAGAAAGTAGTATAAATCATGTTAAGTTAACCAAACATGAAAAATTACAATGTATAGACCAGATAAAGAGAGAGATTTCCAAGGATTCAGTCAGATCATCTTAAACAAACATTACTACTGAGATTAAAATGTAATTATATGTAACTTAATCTACAATACATTGAATGTAGCTCTTTTAAATATGTAAGTAGAATCTCACTCACTGCCATAGAGTCGGATCTGACTCATAGTGACCCCTCCTTGGGTTTCCGAGGTGGTATCACTACAGAAGTAGATTGCTCAACCTTCCTTCTGAGGAGTGGCTGGTGGTTAGCAGTCAAGTGCCTTAGGCACTAAGCCGTCAGGGCTCCCTATAAGTAGAACAGTCAGAGCTCCCTATAAGTAGAATAGTCAGGTAAAATGATTTAACCATCACTATATGGGTGGTTCAAACCCACTAGCCACTCCTCGGAAGGAAGGTTGGGCAATCCTACTTCCGTAGTGATACTGCCTCAGAAACCCAAGGAGGGGTCGCTATGAGTCAGGGCCGACTCGACGGCACATAACAACAACAACATATTAAACAAAGGAGCTCTGGTAGCATTGTGCCTAAGGCACTTGACTGCTAACCAGAAGGCTGGAGGTTCAAACCCACCAGCCATTCCTCGGAAAGAAGATGGGGCAATCTACTTCCTTAGCGATACTGCCTCTGAAACTCAAGGAGGGGTCGCTATGAGTTGGGGCCGACTCGACGGCAAATAACAACAATATTAAACAAATAAAGGAACTCTGGTAGCATAGCGCCTCAGGCACTTGGCTGCTAACCAGAAGGCTGGCAGTTCAAACCCACCAGCCATTCCTCGGAAAGAAGATGGGGCAATCTACTTCCTTAGCGATACTGCCTCTGAAACTCAAGGAGGGGTCGCTATGAGTCGGGTCTGATTCGCCGGCATGTAACAACAACATATTAAACAATGGGAGCTCTGGTGGTGTAGCACCTAAGGCATATATATATGACTGCTAACCAGAAGGCTGGAGGTTCAAACCCACCAGCCACTCCTCATAAGAAGACTGGGCAATCTATTCCTGTAGAGATACGGCCTCGGAAACCCAAGGAGGGGTCGCTGTGAGTAAGATTCGACTTGATAGCAGTGAGTTTTTTTTTTTTTTTTTTTCTTTAATATTAAACAATAAAGGAGCATGGTCAGCGTAGTGCTTAAGGCATCTGACTGCTATCCAGGAAGGTTGGCAGTTCAAACCCACCAGCCATTCGACAGAAGGAAGATGAAGAGATCTACTTCCATAAAGATTTACAACCTAGTAAGCACAATGCGGGTCACTATAATTTGGAATCGAATCAATGGCAGTGAGTTTGGTTTTTTGTTCATTTATATTAAACAATAAAATCATGATTACACTTGGAGGAACTTTTTCTGTGGCTGTTTTATTTAAAAACACCTTTAAAAAGAAATAGCATTAAATTTTGGTGAAGTATTTACTTTTGTATTTGGATCAATTCTTGGTCTAACAAAAATGAGAAAGCATACTTCTGGCTAAAACAATTTCATAGCAAAAAAGATTGGGGGAATTATACAGCAAATCTAATATGAAGTTCAATCCAATTCCCCAATGCTACCAACATTAAATGTAAATCACTGTGGTTTATCATGTGAATGCTGGATATTTCAAAAAGAAGCTGTACAGTAAAGTAATTAAGAATGGGGCCTTTAAAGTCTAATATACTGGAGTCTGAATCCCACCTCCACAACTTAATAGCTAAATAAAGTCATCTCTGGCAAAATGCTTACTCTCTTGGCCTTAGATGCCTCATCAGAAAAATGGGTAATACAGTTCTGAAGAGAAAAGAATTCCTTAAAAATCATCTCTGATATATTTAAGTGTGTGCAGTGTAGCAAATTACTTTGTGTGGCTTTTCTACCCGTAAATCTTTGTAAACTCCAAGGTGGGATTTGCTATGAGCAACTGAGGAGATCCTGATTGCTGAAGGTGTCCACCTGGAGTATTTCTGTTGGGAGTGGCACAAAACAATGTTCTGGGAGGTGCCCACTCTCTCT